AGAGACAAAGACGGCGCAATCATCTCTCTTTGTCAAACGATCAGTGTACTACTAGAAAAATGTCCCCATTAGCTGCTCCTTGCATATCGCTCTAGTGATATCCGTTTTTTTCGTATGTAGCCTCGAAGAAGTCATATTTCTTCCTCTAACTTTTTTTGCTATATTCTTTGCAAAGCTTAGATTGGCGCTACAGAGCCGGATTTTGCATTTTGGCTCTCAAAAAATTTATAATTAATAAAATACAGCTCATGGCCAACTGCACCTAATCCGCCATGAGCTGTACCAGAGCTGTACCTTATTTATCAATTTATGAAATATTATTTTAACTCTTTTTTCCAAAAAATCGCTCTGTAGAGCCAATCTTACGATCCTACTGATTACGAATATTGCTGTTAGAATTTAATTTTCTTTGTATTTTGGCCGTAATACGAAAAAAACGTATCCGTAGTTCACAGCTTCCCGCGAGAGGTCTCTACTGTCTCTCCTGCCGACCCTTAATTATTATATGTCAGATCTTCTTGCAGTGCAATAAAAATTAACGATTCCAAACATTTGATAAAGATACATCTGTTATTGGATCTGTTATTGTATTTGTATATATTTTATATACAGGGTGCCTGATAATAATCGCCCCACCCGTAATGTGCAGATAGAACGGGTTAAACCGAGCAGGAAAGTTCTTTACTTTGTTGCGATTTTTATAATAATTATTGAGAAATCGATTAAAAAAGATCGACCAATTCGCGCGAGTATAAGCGCGCAGCGAGAAACAACTCAAACTCGCGTCCTAGCAACCACACATCAAGGCTGCGTTCGGAAACATCATCCGTGTGCACACGAGCGTCGTTCTATCTTTGTTATTTATTAAAAGTTGAACAAAGATAGAACGATACTCGTGCGCACACGGGTGATGTTTCCGAACGTAGTCCAATGGGTTGTCCCTTTTTACTGCGCGCTTATATTTTCATACGAATTGGTCGATCTTTTATAATTAATTTCTCAATAATTATTACGAAAATCGCAAAATGGTAAAGGACTTTTCTGTTCAGTTTATTGTGCACTATCCGCTCACGAGCGTTGGCACAATCTTTACCAGACACCCTGTATATGTATACATATAATTAATGGATAATTAATGGATTGTTGTTAAGTTCTAACATGAGACGCATATATTATTGGCCCCCGTTAGTTTGCATACACAATTTGTATTTATTTTCGTATTTTCTGTCTAGCGCGCCGGTACAACCGTTTCCGCCCAATCGATGAATACGCAGATAATCATCGCAATCGATCACTCCGTCTCCAGTGCAGTCCTGTTTAATAAATTCGTAAAAAATATTATATAACAGTAATGATATCAAGTATTATCTATATTTCGATACAAGAAATGTGATTTTACCTGATTGAATTTGACCATGTAGCCTTCTACTGTACGACCAGCACAATCAAGATCGTTGACACATCGGTTAAAAGCTAGAGGTGAAAAGAAGAAATAATTATTACATATTATTATTATAAAATTTCTGTTTGTGCTTTTATATCATTCAAGAAGAATATTTTTTATTTTTTTTAATTTTTTTTTTATTTTTTGTAATGTTTGAATTATATAACTTTGTATGCGAGAAGAGCAATATATTTCGTATTCTTTTTTCAAGTTCTAAGCAAATTAAACGTATATGTTTGATAAAGAAAACTACTTAATTAGATAATAAATATTTTTGCAGAGAAATATCGCATATTTGTTCATTCTTACATTTATCTAACTAATGTTATATAAATTCTCAGAAGCCTTCATTTAATGCAGCATTATGCATTCTTGAATTACTGATTGATAATAATCTCTTAAATTGATGCGTATAATTTTTATTTTAAGTTTTAGTCGGATTTTTCTTTTTAGCTACGCTTTCTATACATTTGTCTATGCTCTTCCTATATGTCGTTTCTCTTATCAATGTATAATAATACATTTGTCTATTTCGATTAGAGAGAGAGAGAGAGAGAGAGAGCCAAATAAAGAAGAAAATGCAGCTATAAAGCATTAAAGAGTTATAGAATTATAGTATTCGAATAGATATTCGAAAGCAGTTTTCTTTTTATAAAAAAAAAAACTTAACTCACCACCATCGGTATTGCTCGGTTCGTTGTTTACAGTTGGTTTGCCAGCGTCAATCCAATAGGCCGGTATTATGAGGAAAGGCCCGCAAGCCACATTATAGCAACCGACAGTGGTGTTACATCCCGTAGTAACTTCGCATATGCAGTCTAAGCAGATCTCTGACACGAGTAGTTGATTGGACGAAGCTGGAGGTTGAGCTGTAACGGAAAAAAACATTAATGTATAAAAATGTAATGTCTTGGATAAAAACAAATACAGTTCATCGTTATCTTAATTTTGATTTCACCGCAAATAGACCGCATCTAACTGTCATTTTTACATGCGTCGTCAAAAGAATATCATTAAAACATCATTTAAAAAATAATAATCATAACATTCATCGCAATTCGAGCGCAATGTTTACGTACAAACATAAAACGGAACGAGGATTTCGCACGATAATCATCTTATGATTAGTCATCATGTTATTAATCATTTCAGCTAGCAAGCGCACGTGATTTTGACGTTAAATGACGTGCATTTGCCATCTGGGATGTCATTTATTTCTATACATTTGTCTATGCTCTTCCTATATGTCGTTTCTCTTATCAATGTATAATAATACATTTGTCTATTTCGATTAGAGAGAGAGAGAGAGAGAGAGAGCCAAATAAAGAAGAAAATGCAGCTATAAAGCATTAAAGAGTTATAGAATTATAGTATTCGAATAGATATTCGAAAGCAGTTTTCTTTTTATAAAAAAAAAAACTTAACTCACCACCATCGGTATTGCTCGGTTCGTTGTTTACAGTTGGTTTGCCAGCGTCAATCCAATAGGCCGGTATTATGAGGAAAGGCCCGCAAGCCACATTATAGCAACCGACAGTGGTGTTACATCCCGTAGTAACTTCGCATATGCAGTCTAAGCAGATCTCTGACACGAGTAGTTGATTGGACGAAGCTGGAGGTTGAGCTGTAACGGAAAAAAACATTAATGTATAAAAATGTAATGTCTTGGATAAAAACAAATACAGTTCATCGTTATCTTAATTTTGATTTCACCGCAAATAGACCGCATCTAACTGTCATTTTTACATGCGTCGTCAAAAGAATATCATTAAAACATCATTTAAAAAATAATAATCATAACATCCATCGCAATTCGAGCGCAATGTTTACGTACAAACATAAAACGGAACGAGGATTTCGCACGATAATCATCTTATGATTAGTCATCATGTTATTAATCATCCCAGCTAGCAAGCGCACGTGATTTTGACGTTAAATGACGTGCATTTGCCATCTGGGATGTCATTTAATCTTTGTGATAAACATAACATTGCTATAAAAAGAAAATCCAGCGGACTTGTACCGTGATTATAATATATATATGTACGTAACTTGCAGAGTTATGTAACATTTATTAATAACTATTACATAACAATAGTGTTATATAGTAGTCATATTATTTTATTGTAGAAAATGTACATTCCAGAAAGAGAGAAAAAAAGAATAGTCTAGTAATTTCTCATCATTTTTAATACAAGAGCTTAAAAAAAATTCGCACGATAATCATCTTATGATTAGTCATCATGTTATTAATCATTTCAGCTAGCAAGCGCACGTGATTTTGACGTCAAATAATATTTTATGGATGTCAAATAACATGATTTTGATGTTAAATGACGTACATTTGCTACCTGGGATGATCTAATTTTTGTGACAAACATAACATTGCTATATAAAGAGAATCCAGCGGATTTGTACGGTGATATACAGACTGTTATTAACAGTATGCAGATATTAAAAATTCCTGGAACTAACGGTAAAGTCTATAAATTTGCGATCAGATATCTGATGTCTTTCAATCCAATTTAATTCAATGGAAAACATTGCTTCACACTAAAACGTATATAATTCTAATGAAAAGATATTGCTTAAATATCGCAATAAGCATAATACGCAAAAAAAAAAGGAATTTAGGATAAAAAAATTCGTTTATATAAACTATAAAAATAGATAGCCGCGATGTAATCATTATAAAAAAATCTACAAATCAAAACATGCAAATTGCGAATTGATAGAAACTTATTTTGCAAATTTTTTCAATTCTTTAATTTTATTTATACGATAAGTTTAGATAACTGTAAAAGAGTTTTATCGAGTGCTCGAAGAAATTAATCGGACATTTAATTGATAAAAGATTAACTTATATACTATATTTATACAAAAAAGTATTTAGTTATATTGCACTATACAATTTTGCTTATAATCGAAAATCTCTTAATCAAATTATTGAATTATTATCCTCGAATCACAGATTCGAATTCGACTCGAATTCTGATCAAACGTTGAATCTCCGATATATCATATTATATTTTCGTTATATTTCTATTATTTGAAGATTTAAAAAAATATTTATATCTCGATTTTTATCAACGACTTTGTTCCGTTTTTAATTGTTATTTTTTTTTCATTTCACACACAGTTAAATGTTATTCTAACTTATATTTTCTACAAATTTATCGCAATTTGATCACTATTAATAGCAACGCTGCTACTTCTTTACTTATCTTCAGTAACAATGATTAAATTATAATTTCCGCGAATTTGGAGGAAATTTATATATTATGAATAGTTCTCCTATTAAACTTTTTCTTATTAAAAGAAAATAGAAAAATATTAATAGCTCACCATAGGTACAAACGTTAAAAAACGTGATTATTATCGCGAGAATCCACGGAAGTCCCACGAACATCTCGAAGATATACTGCTGTCAATCCGCAAGAAACAAAGTCTATATTATGCGTCGTCTACAATGGCAGTAACAAGGCTGTAGGAGTAGGAGAGTATACTGTTTTTAGTGACGTAAAGACCGGGAGTAACGAAATGGGCAATTCCCATTTGCTCTTAAAACCAACTCTTAAAATCTTACTCCTCACTCTGTACTGCCTACTGCCATTGTAGACGACGCATTAGCGTACGCTGTGCTCGTCACGGGTGGGGTCCAATAGGATATGTCATCAATTGGCCAATTCAAAATAAGAATCTATAATTGGTCAATCATTCCTGATCATCCTAGGCATCGATTGATATGAATGGCTGTGGTCAATCAGGACGTGATCAAACAGGACGCTCCCGCTCGTCGCGAGATGATCTACGCTTTCCGAGCTGTCTTCGACGATCGCTTTCTTATACGGCGATAGCAGTCGTACAATAGAGACAAGAATACGGAGGCTTAAAAATAGCGGGGAAAGGAAGACCGTTTGTCGTCGAAGGACAAGAATTTCGTCGTCCTGCATCATCATTCGTATCGAGAAAGAAAAGAAGAAACAAAAGTACGAAAAAAAACTGAAAGTAGCTGAAAATGAGCAATTAAACAATGTCCTGTTCTTCGGTAAACGACTGAGCATGATTGCACCCGATCAATTCAATAAATAAGATTTTTTATTAGCAGCAAAGAGATATATGTATTCCACGAAGAATGTTTTCCAAGAATTGCAAAAATTAGATCTGAAAAATTAGAATAAATTTTAAATGTTTTTACAAATACAAATAATTTTTATATGAAAAAACTAATTGTAAACAATAAATGGGGCACATGCTTCTCTGGAAAACAAAACACTGCAATTTTCAAATTGATGAAACGCGCCTAGAGCATTTAGATTGCGTTCGAAGATTCACTCTCGTCAGATCAATGTTTGATTGATCAATCAAGATAAAAAGATTTCTTTGTTCTGATTGGTCAATTAAAGCATATTTGATAAATTTTCGAACATAATTCTAGTTAACAATTTCTGGATAAAATGAGTTTGACGCTTCGTATCTTGATATTCGTGCATCATGATTGTTAGTCACCAAGACTGCGTGATGTAGGCGCATAACAATGATACAATCTACACGAAGCTAGCCGGCAGAAATTATTAAATATAATTATTTTTAACTTTTCTGAGTGTATTACGTTTGTAAATCGTTTGTGATTGATTGTGAGTCTGTTTTTAATGTTTGTGACAAATTAGGTTTTTTGCAATTAACAATTTTAGTTTAGTCATGATGTCAGCTGATACTTTTTAGTAATAAACAGATTTTGCGATAACTCATAACTGTAATCAACAGTAAATCGTTTGTGGTTTACAAATATACCAATGTTACGTTTGTGAATTGATAATTTTTTAAATTACGTTCAAAACAAGTTTATTTTATAATTGTAGTCCACATGCGCAATGTATACTCAGTTTTGAGACGCGGGACGATTTCCGCCATGCGTAAAGTCCGTATCAGACTATGCATTGAGATTGAAATTTGACCAATCAGAACAAGGAAATTTTAGTTTCTTTTATCCTGATTGGCCAAATTTCAATTTTTAATACGTAGTCTGATACGGGCTTAAACGCGTCGACGCGCTCTCTGTAAGCAGAAGGCTTGAGTATACTTTGCGCATGCGCACTACAATTATAAAACAAACTTATTTTGCACATAAATAAAAAAATTATCGATTCACAAACGTAACATTGGTATATTTGTAAATCACAAACGATTTCCTATCGATTATAGTTATCAGTTATCACAAAATCTGATCCTTACTCTTCCTTCATGCCACATACGGAACATTTTTCGTGACCACTTTCAATCTAAATCTAGGTAGATAACTCTCCTTACTCTTCCTTCATGCGTATACCGTATAGTCAAATTTTCTTTAGAAGCCTAAGGGCGGGAGCATAGACTTGCAGAGAAAAGCCTAATGATACTGTAAGATTTATACAATCCGTCACCAGAATACAAACGATAGTATTGACTAAAGTGATTGCAACATTCATGTGTTTGGCTTTTTGCACCCGTTATCCCTTCCTTTCTGTTTTCCTGTGTTTTTTGACTCATATATCCCGTGAGGTCTGGCATCAGTAATTTAGCAATTTAGCTAATACTCGCATTAGTATATTCTCATGACAGAATATCATAAAAAAATCTTACATTTGTTTACAATACAAAGAAAGAAAGAATGGAAATTGTTTGAAATCGAATTAAAGGCGATGGGAGAAGAGGTAATTTGTTCGAGATCGACTTTAAAGCGATAGGAGATGTAGAGTGGCCGATCGATAATTTCTAAGAATTCGAGATGAAAGAGATGACCGCTCTCGATGCAGTCACAAGTTATGGCTCTCGCTCTAGCTTATCGCGAGCCGCAAGTCTTTCGCCACTCACTCCTATCACTGCGTTTAAAACTGACATCAGTGGCGCCCAATCAGGGGCTTCCGCCTCCCGTCAATAAAAAAACTACCGCGATTTTTTCCAGTCATGATTATCATACGTTCTGGATCCTTCTAGAAGGATTCAAGGCTATAAAAGGGGCGCGCACAAGGCGCGGCCGGCACTTGACGAAAAATAATCGACGCGTACACGTAGATCTTCTTGCGCTAATTTATTCGACAAAGTTCAATCGCGACAATGAATCCAGCGCGCTTTCGTTGCTCGTGAAACATTGGTTTTCTGTGCGGTTTTATCGTTCGAAATCATCCGTTGCTTGCGGAAATCAAAGATTTATTTTTAGTAATTAATTTGTAAAAAGTGTACAAAGCCTGTTATTTGATTAAATTTCGTAGTGTCAAGTCGCTCGTCTTTCCTACCGTCCATCGTCCTCCTTACTTATCGAAGTTATTGTTATCGCAGCACTCCTCGCTCACGCGTCCACTTCTCTCGCTAACAGAGATAAAAGCGGAAAAACAAAGAATGGAACAATTAAAAATGGCAATCTAATGGGCCAGAGACTCTAGAAAAGGACAAAACGATTAAACAGTTAAATGATTATACAATTATAGAAACGATTGAAGTTAAACAAACAAAAGAGCAAATCCATTCTAAAGTCTTTCGTATCAGATGGTTTAGACTGTATTCTTTATAATTTTTAACATTTCATGCATGGTTTCTTCTTGTGCTTTTAAGAATACATTTAATATATATTTTGCATATAATTTCAGCATGTTTTAGAATAGCAAAATTTATTTAAATAGTCAATATATATATATATACAGGGTGAGTCATTTTAATCAACGCACGCAAATATCTCGTAAAGTAAGCATGTTAAATGTCTGTAAAAATAAAATAGGAGTTAAAATTCATATTTGCATAAAAATATACATACTGCAAATATACATAAATATTTTTATCAAATATTTTAAAGTTCATATCTACAGCAAAATAGAAAATTAGAGAAAGCAAAAAATATCCACATAAAAAATATACGAACATATATCATAGATAAATATAATTTTTACTTTTGCGATCTCAATAATTTTAAGGTTATTAACCTAGGTTATTAACCTTAGGACATGCTATTCTATTATGATTAATTAATACATAATATATATAGGTTGCTATAATAAAACATAATATTATCAAAAAGTTCTTACCTTTTCTCGTACGCAACAATAAAAAATGTTAATCACGAAATACACGACAATCACAGATATGTGCAGCAAGACCGGCGCCTACTACACACGCACACAATTGCGAACGCGTACATGTGCTGCGCAAAGCATACAGTGCAGCAATATAAGCCAATTTAAGAAAAATGTTTTAATAAAATGAACCATTTAGTATTGTTTATCGTTAACATCTTTCATGTAGAAATATTGCAAAAAATTATTTTATTATAATATTTTATTATTAAAATTATATAAAAATTGAATTTTGCAATATTTCCGAAATATTAATGTCATGTTGCTACAAGTGTGCTGGTACTTTGTGGCTCTATATTTCTGCAATGTCTTTGTAATATTGCATTGCAATTTGCAACATTGCAATGTTGCTGCAATATAATTGCAATGATCTGTGCTGTATGGGTTACAAAAAATCTAATTTGTCACAAACGTTAAAAACAGACTCACAATCAATCACAAACAAATTACACTCAGAAAAGTTAAAAATAATCATATTTAATTATTGCTGCCGGCTAGCTTCATGTGGGTAATGATACACGTGTATAATATGAATTGAGAGGTTAGAACTGTGAAGTTAACTTTTACGTGTGAAATATGGAACGTGTCAAGAATAAATCGGCGGAAAAAACGCGTAAAATATTACGCAAAAAGAAGAGACAACGAAAGAAGGTAAATAGAGCAGCGTTTTATCAAAAGAAAAATCAAAACCAAGGAGAGAATGATATTGAACAAACATCGTCGACGAAGGCGCAAAAGCCTAAAGCTACTATATCTGACGTATACCCATGAAGGAAGAGTAAGGAGAGTTATCTCGATAGTGTAGAGAGAAAAAAAGTGATCACGAAAAATGTTCCGTATGTGGCTAGGTTTGCCAAATGGAATGACTTGGACCAATTCGTCGCCATCTTGAATATTCGTACATATATAGTGTTATGTTTAGTTGTATTAGTGATCAGTAAGTGTGTTAGATGACACACTACTTACTAATTACTACCACAACTAAACGTAATACTATACATATACGAAGATTCAAGATGGCGACGAAAATTCTAATTTATTTCAATTACTTTATTATAAAAAAACATTAAGCATACAAATATAAAAAACGATTAAAGTAGAAAAAGACTAGAGAAAAGAAGCTCAATGCAAATATAGAATAACACTAACACTAACACGTGTAATAAAAAGAAATTTAAATTTAAATGACAAAGCCAACAAAAAGTTTATGGTATTATTCTAAGACAACTGAAAATATTAAACTATCAATCTTTACAACAAGCAAAGACATTCAACCAATAATAAATTAGAGATATTCTTTATATAAAACACATATATTTACAAAAAACAGAATTATTAATTGCATATATATTTAAAACAAATGATAATGCATGTCATCATAATTTTATATAAATGTATTTGCGTTTTATGTGTCATGGTTTTATATAAAATTGTACATTTCTCTGGTTATTATATATCAGATCTTAATAGGTTTTAATTATTGTATGTCAGATCTCCTTGCAGTGCAATAAAAATTAACGATTCCAAACATTTGATAAAAATACATCATTATTGGATATGGGTACAGTTCCGAAAACGATAAACCTCCGATTGCGCTGAAATTTTAACCAAAGCTTGTTCTTGACTTGAGTATAAAGCACCTTGGGAGTTTTTTGCCGACGAAGTCCTGTTTGCCTCTTATGTCTCCTCAAAGTTCCAAACATTTTTACTGTATATCACCAAAAATATTGATTTTAGAGAAAAAAGTTTCAAACAAAAAGTAAAGCTCTCGGAACACCCTGCCTCCACGCATACACTTTTTAATGGGAAGTGAGGTTCCACATGGGTTTACAAGTTCTCACGCGAAGCGAGATTCAATCCAAGCCAATGTGTCTAGTTCTTTGGTAGTGGAGCCCACTCCGTAGGGGAACACTGCCTCCACGCATATACCTTTTAATGCGAAGTGAGGTTTCACATGGGTTTACAAGAAGATATTGATTTGGGAATCTACAACTAAAGAAATTAATATATTTAATAATATATTAATATTAATATATTTCCCTATGAATCAGGTCCGATACATTGTATTAACACGATAGCGTTAAAATTATTATTTTATCACGTAACTTCTAAAATAATGGGTTTATGTAAAAAAAATGTATATAACCTTTTTTGTAGTTTTTAATGGCTTCATTTTTTGTCTAAAACTTTTTTCGCAAAATCAATATTTTCGGTGATATACAGTAAAAATGTTTGGAACTTTGAGGGGGCGTAGGGGGCAAACGGGCACATTTTTTACCAGACACCCTGTATATGTATACAGAGTGTCCGGTAAAGATTGTGCCAACGTTCGTGAGCAGATACAGCACAGTAAACTGAACAGAAAAGATCTGTACCATTTTTTTATATAACGCTTAATAAAGGATTTATTATTGAGTAAAGTCTGGTCAATCAGCGCCAACTTTTAGCTGGACACACGTCGATGAGCCGCCCGCCTGGCAGCGTGCGCCGCCGTAGCGACGAAGCGCTCACGCACATTACCAGGTGCGCGGCTAAAGATCGGCGCTGATTGGCCAGACTTACTCAATAATAACTCCTTTATTAAGCGTTATAGAAAAAAATGTTATAGGACTGTTCTGTTCAGTTTATTGTGCTCTACCCGCTCACGAGCGTTGGCACAATCTTTACCGGATATCCTGTATAATTAATGGATAATTAATGGATTGTTGTTAAGTTCCAACATAATATGCATATATTATTGGCCCCCGTTAGTTTGTATACACAATTTGTATTTATTTAAGTATTTTCTGTCTAGCGAGCCGGTACAACCGTTTCCGCCCAATCGATGAATACGCAGATAATCATCGCAATCGATTACTCCGTCTCCAGTGCAGTCCTGTTTAATAAATTCGTAAAAGATATTATACAACAGTGATGATATCAAGTATTATCTATATTTCAATACAAGAAATGTGATTTTACCTGATTAAATTTAACCATGTAGGCTTCTACCGCACGACTAGCACAATAAAGATCGTTGACACATCGGATAAAAGCTAGAGATGAAGAAAAAAATAATTATTACATATTATTATAATAAAATTCCTATTTGTGATTTCATATAATTTAAGTATAATTTTTTTTTTCTATGTTTGAATTGTAATTTTCATTTTTTTTTTATGTTTGAATTGTAACTTCCATGTAACTTCCTATGAGAAAAGAACAATATATTTCGTATTCCTTTGTCAGGTTCTAATCAAATTAAAGATATATATTTGATAAGGAAAATTATTTAACTACATAAATATTTTTGCAGTGAAATATCGCATATTTGTTCATTCTTACATTTATCTAACTAATGTTATACGAACTCTCAGAAACCTGCATTTAATGCAGCATTATGATGTATTCTTAAATTATTGATTGACAAAAATCTTTAGAATTGATGCGTATAATTTTCATTTTAAGTTTTAGTCGGATTTCTCTTTTTAGCTACGCTTTCTATACATTCGTCCTTCCTTTATGTCGTTTTTCTTATCAATGTATAATAATACATTTGTCTATTTCAATTAGAGAGACAGAGACATAAAGCCAAATAAAGAAGAAAATACAGCTATAAAGCATTGAAGAATTATAGAATTATGGTATTCGAATAGATATTCGAAAGCTGTTCTCTTTTTATAAAAAAAAACTTAACTCACCACCATTGGTATTGCTCGGCTCGTTGTTTACAGTTGGTTTGCCAGCATCAACCCAGTAGGACCATTGTATAAAAAAAGGTCCGCAAGGGCGGGCCAAATTAGAGCAACCAATAGTCATGTTACATCCCGTAGTAGTTTCACATATGCAGTTTGCTTATAATCGAAAATCTCTTAATCAAATTATTGAATTATTATCCTCGAATCACAGATTCGAATTCGACTCGAATTCTGATCAAACGTTGAATATCCGATATATCATATTATATATTTTCGTCCTATTATATGAAGATTTAAAAAAATATTTATATCTCGATTTTTATCCACGACTTTGTTCCATTTTTAATTGTTATTTTTTAAATTCATAGTAAAATATAGTGATTAATTAAACCGGGTTGGGTTAATCTGTTCATTCGAAAACGCTATGTATTTCCTGATTCATATATCCCGTGAGGTGGCGTCAGTAATTTAGCAATTTAGCTAATATTTGCATTAGTATTCTCATGACAGAATATCATAGAAATCTTACATTTGTTTACAATACAAAGGAAGAAAAAATGGAAATAAAAGCGGAAAAACAAAGAATGGAATAATTAAAAGGGGCAATCTAATGGACCAGATGAGACTCTAGAAGAGGACAAAATGATCAAACGGTTAAATGATTATACAGTTAGAGAAACGATTGAAGTTAAACAAACAAAAGAGCAAATCCATTCCAAAGTTTTTTGTATTAGATGGTTTAGACTAGAGTCCCTCTAACAGAGTCTGGCCATACAATAGCAACTTTTGATTGGTCCGCCATTTTGTGGCAACTCTCGCTGATATTTGAATGGAAATGGCAATAACAGTAAATTGTTGCAATGGAAATTGAAAATATACGTGGTAAAAACAATACATGCATAAGAATTTTCACTGTACAGAAAACGTGAAGAATCAACAGTTTGAATAAGAAAATAAAGGGAGACAAAAAAAGAAAGAACGAAAATATTACAATAGTAAAATTTATTGTATTAAGACACCTATATTAAAAAAAACACTGTAGAATATATAATAAATTATATAACAATATAGAAATATAAAATATATAATAACAAGCAAAACATTTTTGTTGGTTTCATAAATCATTGGAAAAACAAGACATATTAATTGCTTTTAATTTATATAACTTTTTATTATTAATTTCTTTTTATAATTATATTATTCAATTAATTTTTATGAATTCAGCTGGATGCACTAGTGCGCACCAATAAAATGCACGTTAAAAGCTATTATAGACAAATTTATATAAGCATAATTAATTATATTTTCCTATAGTTTTAACCGTGTTCTATTGTTTTTTAAGTAGTTTTAATTGTTGACAGCGTTAATTATTTTTTTTTTTTGCGTTTATATGATCGCCGGTGATACTATCAGCTATCAGATTTTCGCAAAATGTCATAAAATGTCAAAAAATCGCGAG